ATCTATCTATCTATCTATCTATCTATCTATCTATCTATCTACCTATCATCTATCATCTATCTATCTATCATCTATCTATCATCATCATCTATCATCTATCTATCTATCATCTATCATCTATCATCTATCTATCATCATCTATCTATCATCTATCATCTATCATCATCTATCTATCATTATCTATCTCTGTCTTGCTAGCTTGCACTAGAGAGACAACTCTCAATTGCTGGTTTTGTAGAAGTCAGCTTGCATATTGTGCAAAGGCATATGGACAAGGCCATGTAGCAAGGAACTGAGTGAGCTCTCTGCCTAAGAGCCAGCAAAAAATGAGGAACCAGAGTCCTACAGGCATAGGGAGAATAGAAATGGGTCTTTCACCAATAGGGCTTCAGAGACTATCACAGGCCGGGGCTGTTACCTGGGTTGCAGCCTGGTGAGACTTAATTCAGAAAATCCAATTGAAATGTGCCACCTAGACTTCTGACCTATAGAAAATGTGAGATAATAAACATATATTGTTTAAGTTATTAAGTTTGTGGTAATTTTTTGCACAGCAAGAGCAAGTTAATATAAGACATAACTTTTTTTGAAATATAGAACTAGCAGAAATATTTAAAAAATTATTGCAGAACTTAGAGTAGTAAAAATCATAGAAGAAAATACTTGGTATAAGGCAAAACTGAAAATTCACTTACATTTTCTCCAAATGAAAAAGAAAATATAGCGATACCTATAAACATAACCATCACTTTATGCTTCTGAATAAAAACAGACAGCTCATTAAAGGGTTCAGCTTTTGAAAAAATAGCCAAAGAGATGGAGTAAGAAAAAGCACACAAATATAATCATGTATCATAAACTTTGTTAGAGTAACATCATTAAGGCTAAAGCACAGGTGATCAGATGCTTGCAAAAAGGATTGAAGAGGAAAGAATCTGTTTCATGTAAGGACAAATGAGCAGGCAAAGGAGAGATCTGTGGTGGATGGCGGTGTGCTATAGTGGAATGACTGCAGGCTTTGTGCCAAGCTGGCTTCAATATTTACTCTGGGTAACACTGAGCAAACTACATTTTAAAATATTCTATTAGAGAAAATAAAATGTCTTCTTGGAAATTGTATTAGTCAGGGTTCTCCAGAGAAATAGAACCAATAGGATCTGATATTTATTTATGAAAGTTCAATTATGGAAAGTCATTGGATTGTTTTTTGATATATATTTGGATTTGGATTTTGTTTAGGAAGAATCCCTTCTCCCCAAGATTATTTGGTAGATTCTCACATATATGTCAGCATGACCATTTTCAAGTGTATTTGAATTTTAATATTCATAATTTATTTTCCTGCATGATGTGAGGTATAGACATAACTTACTATTCTTTGACTTTTTAAATTGTGTTATAAACCAAATTTAAAGACAGCACATATAAAACTTTATATTTACAATAAAAAAAATTTTGTGGACTCAATTCCAGACTGCTTTCTTATCAGACTTACTTTTGGAATCCAAAGGGAAGTAGAGAAGAGTATATGGTGAAAGAAAGCAAGTATCTCGATAATGACCATTCATAGGTTGTTTCCCAATCACGCATGTTATGAAGTTAAGGTTTTCCTTGCTGTCAGTAGACACATTAAAGTTTCTAGAAACTCAATCAGAAGTTTCTTAAGAAGATAAGAATTGAATTTCTCCAAATAGAGGAAAAACACTTAATTCCATAGTGTAATAAATCAGCTGGTAAAATTCCTTAAAATTCTTTCTTGTTACTTTTAATACAGTTGCATAGACTGAAGAGTAAGCAGACCTTATTTAAAATTTTTATAGTTGGTAATAAAAGGATAAATTTAAGTTGTTTCAGGTATTAACCTGTTGATCCCACAGATTATCATACTCTCTCTCGCTTCCTTTTCTTTACAGAATCTGTTTCTTCTTTTGGAATGGACAAATCTCACTAATCCTCAATCATTTTTTCTTTCCTTGCAATGGGTTCTGCTCATCTTTCAAGCTTAACCTACTTTTCCAAGACCTTTCTATCCACTGCTTTTCTTTTTCCAGCTCTTAGAGCCCTATTTTAACAATGATATTATTTATTTTAATTCTAATTGTTTTCATTTTTCTCTTAGACTCTAGACTCTATTAGGGCAGAAAAATTCACTAATTGCTGACCTCATCAACCCAACATAGCTTTAATAAAGAGTGACAATTAATCAATGCTTGTTAAATAAATGCATTTTTAAAAAGCATGTTATTCCTGTGATCAACCCAGCCTGGAAATAAAACTTCTTTACCTAGGCCTCAAAATTTAGTACACAAAGGTTGAATTCTTCTGTTTGTTGTACTTTTTTCTCAACTGTGAAATTTATACATATATAAATGGGGGGGGGGAGAGGAAAGGGGAAGGCAATAATGTGGGGACTTGGAATCAATGGGAAAATTGATTGATGAAAAGAAGTATAAAAAAATCATCACTTTGCATATTAAATTTAGCTCTTTATCTCATAGCAGGAGTGAATTATATTAAAATGCTCCTCCCCATTTTTTAATTTCTTTTACCTAATTATAAAGTATTACATAAAGAAACATGACAGGATTCTGTTTTATTGCTCTTTAAGCAACATGAAGCTGATTGCTTTATTTTCCCCCCCAGAAATCTTACTGTTGTCTATTGACATAAAATGAGAAGAAAAAAAAGAGAGAGAAAGAAGTTTCTTATTAAGAAATACACTAGAAATCTGAAGCTACAGTACCCATATTTTTTCTTCAGAGTCGAGACTCAAAACTATGGACTGGATGCTCTTGTGCATCGCTGTCAACCATAAACTAATACGAATAGGCTTCTCTCGTTTCTTTTCACGACTGAATTAACGTATCCCCCCTTGTCTTTCACAGAAGAAATGTAAGGAAATATAGGCTCAGGTATTAAAAGAAAAAGCAAAGCTGATTCAATCAAAGTAAATCTACAGGAATGTTAACTTATCCTCTAAAACTTTCATAATGAAGTGAGATCATTTATCTAGGTCCTAGGAGAAGGCACATTCCATGTACAAAAAAGAGAGGCTTGAGAGCTAGGCTTCTGTTTACTTCTTAACTACTAATAAGCCTTTGTGTCTAAATAGCAGCTGCAGTTTTTTTAAATGGCATATGCTCACAACTACTATGGGAAAACCTTTTTAAAGTTATTATTGGATGGTGGGAGTAGGGGGCGGGGTTGACCTTAGAGAAATGAGAGCAGCATTACTTTTTAAAGGACACATGCTTGGCTCCAGCCAGTATTGCTCCACATGACAGGGCTGACCAAGACGCAGCAGAAAAGCAACATGAACGATGTGAAGCTCGCTGTCCTGGGCGGTGAGGGAACCGGCAAGTCTGGTGAGCGGGGTGTTTCCTCTGGCAGGGTGTGGAGTGCAGAAGGAGGGAGAAATATGTTAACATACGTAGAAAACTAGGTATAACTATCTATTGTGTTTCATTAGCAGTTTTAATTTGATAAACAAGTTAAGCAATTAACTGTATATTTAAAGGATTTTATAGATAGCTTGAGAAGGATAATTGTTTAAAGTATTAATTTGTATCTTGTTTTACTGATGTTTAAAATTCATAGGAATAACAGGAACCCTCTCCATCAACATCCTACTTACTTCTCACTCCAACACATCTGTCCTCACACCCACCAGTGGAAGGATCCTTCTGCCCTGAGACTAGGGGTGGAGAGAGATGTGTTGAAACCTGTGGATTATTTTTTAAATGCCACATTACAGAGGAGAAATAAAACCCAAACAAACTTTGGAGGGACATAGCTTTGTAGATGTCTGGGAACTAAGCAACATTTGCCCTGACTTGAGAAGCCATCTCTTTGTTTAGTTTTTGGTCACATTATGATAATGAGGATGCCACCAATAGAGCCTCTTGGGCCTAAGGGATCGTAATTGCCAGACCCAGGAGCTGTAACAAGATGAAGGGGCACTAGAGGTCCTTTCTCTATTTCCTGTATTTTGAAGCCCCTGTATCCTTAAGCAACTGCATCTGCTTGATATTGTCCTTGTCATTAGCATGTGCACCTTGGAACCACATTTACTTTGATAAAGAAAATAAAGAGATGCTATAGATCTTGCAGCTAAGATTTAATGAGAAATCTGTTTCTGTTCCAAAAGGTAAATTGCCTTATGTGTTTACATTTGTGAATTAATTACATAGTGATTTGAGTGGATAACATTCTAAGATCACTGTCTTTCTAGCCTCCTAACCTTTATGGTTGCACAGTGGAAATCTTGCTATTATTTAGAGCAGAATTGGGTAAAGCTTTAAGATCTTCCTGATGCTTGGTAATTTTTGAGCTGAAAGATAAAACCCTAAGTATATAATTAGATTATCCGTATACTAAAACAGAAAGACCATAAATCCAGCTTGCTTGTTTTGCAGCTCTCACAGTAAGGTATCTTACCAAGCGATTCATTGGAGAATATGCTTCTAATTTTGGTAAGTCACTACTTTAGCCTTTTTTCACCTTAAAATTTCAGATCATAATTAAACCACAATTAAGATCAGAAAGGAATTTTAATAGAATTTTCCATTTTTACACTTTTAAGCAACTTATTTTTTCACAGAGCTTGGTTAGAAATGCCAAAATAAGTACTTGAACTGAATGTTATTTTTTGATAAAATTCATCCAATTTGATGTTAACTAAAATGGATTAGAAAGTCACTTGGTTTCAGTCTAAAACTAGGAAAAACATTAAAACTGAGATCCACCCCCCCAAAAAAACATATTGTAGAACATGTGAGTATGAGTATTTTCGTAGGCTATGAAAGGGTTTTGAAATTAATTCAGCATCTGTTGAAAGATAAGGGCAAATTAATTATAAAAGCACAAGTAACTATAAAATAAGGCTTGTTTTTATTGCAAAACTATGTTAAAATATCAGGAAAATTATGTCTTGATTAAAGATCATATATAATGATCTAGGTTGCTTATGTAAGTTTCAGAGAAATTATAAAACAGATGCCAGGGCACCATAATATAATTTTATTATTTTGATCAGAATTAGCATAACATATGGGAAATATCATGGTGGGGAATTAATAAAAATGGGGAATTTTGCCAGAGGTTTGAGTATATTTTTGGCTCAGCAATTAATCAACATAATTGCACTAATTTCTTACTTGATTGAAGTTATGGGGAAAATGTTTTGTTTTTTTTATTTAAAAAGGATGACAGACTTACAAAGAATATGAGAATTGGGAAAAAATGAAATAATTATTTTGTTCAATAATACTTATTTAGAGTAAAAGGAAATTATGATTGCAAGTGTGTTTTTCCATGAGAAATAAATATAAACAAAAATCTTTAGCATTTATTTATGAGATAGCATTATTAGAGTATTTTAGAAAATAATTTTAGAAGTATTACATTGTGTGTTGTCTTCTACATGTATCCAATATAGTATTTTGTTCATATGACACTGTGAACCTTTTAGGACAAGTGCTTGAAACTGATTATAAAAAGAAGAAATACATAGAAAGAGAATTTTTCATTGTTTTATTTCTCAGGTCAGCAATCTCAGTCAAAAAGGTCAACATAGCACACAAGCCAGCAGTCAGACATGAGAAAATGTTCCAGAACTACAAAACAAAACATAAATAAAACAACATCCCAAAAACCAATAGCCTCAACAATGAAAAAAATACCACCTTTATCTCTTATAGGATATAGTTTAGTTTATAAACAAAGTATACACAGTTCTGGTTGTTACTTCTCTACAAAGAATATGAGACTTAGAGACATTGTTTTAAAAAATTATTTTTGTTGATTTCACAGAGAGGAAAGAGGGGAGAGAGAGAGAAACATCAATGATGAGAGAGTCATTGATCGGCTGCCTCCTGCACGCCCCCGACTGGGGATCGAGCCCACAACCTGGGCATGTGCCCTGACCGGGAATCGAACCCCGATTGCCTGGATCCTAGGTCAGTGGTCGACTGGAGAGCCACACTGGCTGGGCAGACCTAGAGACATTTTGGAAAGACTACCTAAAGAGCAAACGGTGACCACTGTATGGGGACAAACTAGCAAAAAATGATTCCATCTTGTAAAGAAAGACTTGAAGGAGAAATAATAAAATTCTAAAAAGTTAAGAGTTGGTCACTCCTGCTGCCAGTTTTTGAGTTTTGAGAGTGGATTTTTTTTTTTTTTAAATGTCTAGAAAGAAATTTTATGGTTCACAGTAGTAGACTTAAATGAAGTTTAGAAGGCATTGTCTGAAAACATATTTTAAGGTTTAATGAAACTATGACAAATTTCATTAAATGTAACTTGGAAGGATTTTAAAACTTATCCCTAACTCCTTGAAGTTCTACTCCCCAAATTTCTACTACATCTTCCCATTATTAGTGATAGAGTGTTTGCCAGAATGGGCCATGATTTTGTGTCAATATTCTATTTTGGAGAGAAGTGGGTCTTTTATTAAAACACTGGAGGAACAGTTACAGAAATAAAGTCCTTTATTCATTCAACAAATATTTATTGCAAACCTACCGTGTCCCAGGTACTCTTAGAGGTAGAGAGATTATAATAGTAAAAAACAACAAAAATGAAACAAATATCCAAACCCACATAAGATTTACATTCTGGAGGGAAGGGTTAGTCAATTAAAAACATTAAATATGAACTATCATATAATGATAAATGCTATAAAGAAAAGGAAAGCATGGGAAGTGGTGCTAGCGTGGTGTGTGGTTATTTATAATAGGCTAGTCAGCTTAAACCTTGCTGATGGGACATTTGAGAAGAGATAGCAAGGTGGTAAAAACTCAACCATGAAGATACCTGGGGGATTACATTCCAGGCAGAAGAAACAGTTATCAAAGTTCTGAGGAAGGAACTTTCTAGAAAATGTGAGGAGTAGTATGCAGGATGGTGTAGCTCAAGTGGAGAGAATTTGAGAGGCAATGGCCAGAGAGGTCTGTTGAGGTCATAGAAGTAATAAGAGAGTAGACAATGAGGTGCAGTCTCAGATATTTTTAAGGCTTTGCTTTATCCAAGTGGGATGAGGAGCCATTGGAGTGATTTGATCAGACAAGTGACATGATCTGGCTACAAGGTTCACTTTTGCTCCTGTGTTGGGAATAGAGTGAGCACAAGAAATGAGTAAGGGGAGAATGAAGCAGAGGGATAAGCTAGGAAGTTCAGTAAGAACATAAGCAATAATGGTGACTGGGACCAGTGTGCTAGCAATGGTGATGATGACAGAAAATCAAAATGTCCTTGGAGGTTAGAGTGAAAAGAAAGTTTTAATAGACTAAATATGGGATGTAAGAGAAATAAAGAATCAAGGATGACATTAAGGCTCTTAACCTGAGAAACTAGAGTTACGGACAGGTCACCTAATGATATGGAAAATTGTGGAAGATGCAGTCTTAGCGGGGAGATGTCCATCGTGTAGCTAAGTGAAGATGTCCAATTGTAGTAGTTGTTTGTGTCTAGAGTTCAAGAAAATGGTCTGGGCTATAGGTATAAATTGGGTTTATTAGCAATAATTGTTAGGTAAAGACTCTGACCGGATGAGATTAGCCAGGGAGTGAGTATAGATAGAAGAGATCCATAAACTGGATCCATGATCAGAGTGTGGGAAGATATATATGGTAGGAAAAATTTTTTTAAAAAGATGAACATAGAGCAATAGGAAATAAAGAAAAAAACAAAAGAATCTGTTGCCTTGAAAGACATGTTAGGGAAACCTTTTAAGAAGGCAAAAGTGATTAACTACATTAATACTACTGACAGAGAAAGGAAGATCAAAGCATAGAACTGACCATTTTGTCTAAAACCATGACCTTGATAAGAACAGTTTGAGCTAAGTAATTGGAGTTAAAGCCTGATTGGAATAATTTGAAGAGCATGGGAGCAGAGAAATTGTACGCAGGAGGTATAGGTGCATACCAAAAGGCCAGCAGAGAAACAGGGCAAAAGTTGGAAGAGATTGTGGGATCCAAAGGATTGTCAACTTAGGAGAAATCCAGCTGTTAGGAATGATACAGTGAAGAGGAGGAATTTGTGATGCATAAGAGAGATGTCGAATCGGTGAGGTCATGTTTTTCACTAGGTCAGAGGAAATGCTAACTAGTTCCTAGTGACTGGATTGGCCTTAGATAGAAACACAGATACTTCATCCACAGTAATAGGATGGAAGATAAATATTTAAGCACAGAGGCATGTAGCTGAATAGATGTGGTGAATTTCATGTGTGAGAAATATATATGAGCAAATACAACAAGTACATGTTTTTTGACCACTAGCAATAAACAAAAGCCCCTGTAAAACTCCATTGAAATACAGCCACTTGAATTTACAAAACTGTGATCCAAATACAGGTCTTTTTAAAAAAATTTTATTCTGGAGTATTTCTATACTGACAATGAACATACGCATATTTTGCAGAATCCATCTATAACAAGCATTTGTGTTTGGAAGGGAAGCAACTGAATCTAGAAATATACGACCCCTGTTCTCAAGTAAGTAAAACAAAGTGCTCTTATTTTTTCAGTCATGATCTGAATAAGATTGGATAAGGGTCAGTGTAAAGTTGCCAGTCTTAAAACTGAATTTTCTTCTCAATTTTAATTATTGAAACTAAGAGAATATTTTTAGTGTTATGCATTTCATTATCTAGCTTCTCTGTAAAGTATGATAAAAACTGTCACATTACAAATATCTTTAAAACATAAACATTACGCTGAATTTATAGCATATTTCTATCAGGTCACAATGTAGCTGTTAGAAGTTAATAGTTTAATGGCTTATGATTCAAGTTTATATTTTCACCGTTTCCTTTGTGACTAACCACTGTGAATAGAGCATAAGTGATATTTTTAGTGCAAGCTTCTTTGTTTATTCAAATACAAAAAAATGAAAATAGGATTGTATAAATAACAGCTGTTCAAGATTTCAAAACAACTCCATGGGACAGATTCTTTTAGTTATAGAAAATATACCTTAACTCTTTTTAGCTAAACCTTATAATTTTTTTACTGATTTAAATCTAGCACCAAAAATCAAGATATTCCATTTACTAATATAAATAGAAAACATTATCTCTTTTCAAAACAAATGTGTAGATATGAATTCAAAAGGCAATTATAGCTTATCAATTTTTCAAAAAAGGTGGAGACATTTCCTTAGAGAAAAGTTGTAAAATGAGATGCAACTTTATTATAGTTCATCTTTATATTTTAAAATTTTAATCACTTTTAATTAAAGAGGGTGATGAAGAAATAAGGGAACTACATTTTAGAAAACACCAGTATTGGCTTATTGAATTCTCTTCTAAATGAAATGTGTCTTCCTTAACTAATTCTAAAGTGTATAATACAGGTGTCAGATTCCACTCCTTTCAATGTGCCTGGTTTGTTTTCAGCCACAGAAAGCAAAAATTTCCCTCACCAGTGAGCTGCACTGGGCAGATGGGTTTGTTATTGTGTATGACATCAGTGACAGGTCTTCATTTGCTTTTGCAAAAGCCCTGATCTACAGGATTCGGGAGCCACAAACTAGTCATTGTAAAAGGTAAGATATTTTTTCATTCCTCTCTCCTTTCTTTTTGGTAAATCACCATACAGCTGTAAGCATCATTAGGAAGAGTTTAATACAGCCTTCCAATTACAAAATTTAACAGCCCTGAACAATTCACCTTCCATTCCACAGGAGTTATACATGTAGTAAAAGAAATAAGATGAGAATACTTTATATCCTGGCTGACATAAACAGTTATTTGCCCCTGAGTAAATGGCTATTTTACAAGACAGCTTCTATTGTTAACATGACGCTCACTTGCCAAATAATGGGCCTATGTACACAAGATAGTCCACTTTCCAGCCTTTTCTTTTCATTCCCACAAAAATGTTAAGGATGCTAAATAAATCCAGATTTATTACATTTGTCATCCAATTTCTAGTCATTTGGTTGTTCAGTCTGTCAAAGCAAAATAGACAGCATAATGAAACTGATACAAATTCTAAGTATGAGAATACATTTTTTCTCCATTTCACCTCTTAATAGATAGCTGATCAACAGTTCCCGATTAACTGTCTTGACACAAGTAACTATGAAGACATAACTGTGCCTCCTTGCATTAGTAGATATAAGTTTCCCATTTTAATTTTTGTTTTGTTTTATAGCCTTTCCCATTTAAAATATTTATTTTTGTTCAAAATGCTGATGTAAGGGATTTTTGTGTTCACCAAATTCACCTTTAGCCTAAAGTAACATTCTAAACGGAGAAGCGAAAAAAGACAATATTATCACTGAAAATTGGTAGAGGTTCTTTTTATATCTATTTAAATGCCTACTATCAAGAAACCATCAAATAATTGATAAAATATATTTCCCTGGAGCCAGTTGATGTAAATTCCTGCTTATATCTGATTGACCTTACGTAAACCCTTTAATCTCTAAGACCTTGTTTTTCTGAGTATAAAACCGATGGAGGTGTGGTAGGAGAAAAGGTGGTGAATTTACTATGGTACCTCACAGCTCTGATTTCCTATAATATTATTCTAGGAAATAGAGGTGTTTTTTTTCTTTATTGTTTCAAGCATTAAATGCCTTATATTTAAGCACCACAATTTAAGTAAGGGACAGTGATAATATTCCTCTGATATTCCTCCAAATCAAAGGAATCACCCAAGAATCCCCAAAACAAACAAAACACACACACACACACACACACAAATACCACATATAAAAATAAAAAAAAACCTGTCTTTAACATTTCAAGGCAATCCCCTTAATGTCCTGAGTAAATAATTTTTAGAACATTTTCAGTTCTTAATCTGTATAGACTAGAAAAGCAATATNCACACAAAAATACCACATATAAAAATAAAAAAAAACCTGTCTTTAACATTTCAAGGCAATCCCCTTAATGTCCTGAGTAAATAATTTTTAGAACATTTTCAGTTCTTAATCTGTATAGACTAGAAAAGCAATATATGGCATTGTTTTATTAAAATTACATCTGATATTTGTGACCCACCTTCAAAATATTTGACCATTCCCCATTAATTGTTGACAATAATTTTCTGAACTATATAGGAAAATATATTATTAATACCCCCAAAAGTCCAGCACATACAGTGCTTTTTCCCTGAAGGCTCACATTGTCATGTGAATGAAACCAACTTTTGGTGGAATCTGGGGACAGTGTCTCTTCAGATAGAGTTGATGACTGCATTTACTTAGTTCTTTCCTATAGGAGATATCTTGGCAGAGTTTCATACCACTTATGGACTAGTAAGCTCACTACAGTCTTAGAAAAACCTCTGTTTTAAGAATGTTTTGTTATAAACAATGAGAATACACTGATACTTGCCAAAGACATTATATTAACAAGGAAACGTATTTCTTAAATAAACAGAAAAATTGTACAAGGTCATGAGATTGTGAGATTGTGTCTCGAGTATGTGATAATGGATGTTAACAAAGCATAAACAGCAATGAGCATTGAATAATGTATCTTATTATATATCTAAATTGTCCAGTTATAGTAACTATTTAGTAAAAAGTCCTCTTTTGATTAATAAGAAAATAAAAAACAATGTTTAGTAAGCATCTTTTATTTCTGGACACTGTTCTAGGTATTTTTATATACATCGTTTCACTTAATCTCAACGAGAATTTGATGTGACCATGACTACTGCACCATTTTTACACATAAGGAAAATGAGAATTGGGAAAGTTAACCATTATGCCTCATTAGTAAACAGAGCCGTAATTCAAAAATAGGTTTGCATCACTTCAAATCCTGTGCTTTAAGGGCCTTGTTTTTTCTGTGTCACTTACTACACTCTACCTAAAATAATTGTGCATAAATGGGGATATGTGTCACACACACATATAACCATAAATAACACACATACACACAATGTTTTTTTCTGTTTTGGTCCATAATTCTTTTTGACATAAACCTAATTAATAATAATAAAAAAGAATTGTTAAAACAGTCTTGCCAAAGAGTTATTTATCTGTATTTCAGAGCTGTGGAAGCAGCAGTGCTTTTGGTTGGTAACAAGCAAGATCTCTGTCATGTGCGAGAGGTTGGCTGGAAAGAAGGGCAAAAACTGGCATTGGATAACCGGTGCCAATTCTGTGAACTGTCCGCAGCAGAGCAGTCTCTGGAGGTAGAAATGATGTTTATCAGAATTATCAAGGACATCCTGACAAACTTCAAACTCAAAGAAAAGAGAAGACCCAGTGGATCTAGATCGATGGCCAAACTGATCAATAATGTATTTGGAAAGAGAAGGAAATCCGTTTAGTAGAAATGCGATCCTTGGGGGTTTATTATATCAGAGAGTTTCAAACATTCATATGATAATTGAAATTCACTTTTTTTACAATTGAAAAAAATTCTTTTAGAGATATAAAGTGACTGAACATGAACCACAGCTGTGTTTCACAATATATAGTTTGCCTTTTTGGTTGTTTGTATTTTGTACACTCTGCTTCACACTTAATCTTTTATTTACTACACAAAATAGCCCTCAGTATAACCTATTGGTGGATTACTATACAGTTTGCCTTGCAAATAAGCAATGCTTATGTAATTTTATTAAACTATCATTCTACAGGCCTGTTTATCTTTATTTTATATATTTCTTTAGAATGAAACATATAGTTATATTCATATATTTCATATTTTCTAGGGCCTAATTTATATGCTTGTAAAACTTCATGATCTGTTTAATAGAAATTCAAGAATTTAATTTTTAAAATGTCTTCATAATAATCCACTGAGTTACTTGATAATACACAAATTTTACTTATAACTTAGGCTTCATGAAGTTATATTCTTTGTCCATGAATACATAGTAATTGGTCTGATGTTGAAAATGTCTGCATTTCTTTGTATGCTATGCTATCAAGGGCAATTATAACAGAGAAATTAATTTATACACCTAACATCATTTTGGTATCAAAAGATTAGAAATCACACATCATAAGGACTCATGTACTCCTTCCATCCCTGCCACTAAAGTTGCTGTCATCGTGGGTCTATTACATAAACACAAAGGTGGTCAAGAAAAGAGACAGGTTATCTGCGAGGGCAGGTCCTCCTGTCCATCTGGTTGTAAAGTGACTTCTCATTGGTGGATGCTGCCTGGTGGGCATTAACTTGATACACAGATCTGTACATTTTATGCTCTCTCTCGAGATGTATTCACATGCTTTTTCTCCAATTATTCTTGGCGCTATTCTTCCAGTCTTTTCTCTTCATTACACAAAATAGCTTTCAGGTACCTCTGACCACCTGGCAAAACCATGATTCCTACCTAGAAATCTATATCCCGTGACACCTTTCTTACCACACAAGGTAGACAACAAAGTATACTTCTTGAATCCCTGACAAAGGGGATAATTTCCTTTCACTGATGAACTTCATGGTTACGTTCATGCAGGATGCAATGAGGCACAGCTTTTGTTTTGGCACTAATACATCAAGCTTAAGTGAGGAAAGTTTCTTAGTAACTAGGAACGTTTAGATTGGATTGCTATGTACATGAGAAAGAAACTTTTGTATAGAGTTATTCTGGTAAATTCAGTGATATATATTTAGGTCAACTATAGAAATTTTATTAATATTTTATGATCTTGACTACATATGTGTATACACACACACACACACATATATCAATTTAAGCACTTATATTTTAAATTTTGTTTGGTTTTGTTTTATTTTTCTTATTCTCCTGGATAATCTTAGCTTTAGAGGTTTGGTCTTCATTTTTAAAATTATTTTCCCAGTTAAAGAAAGATTCTTTGGGGATGATATTGCACTAGAAACAAAATATTTATCCATATTATATGTAAGAACTCTACTGAACAAGTGCTCTCACCAAGAAAAGAGAAATAATTATGTGAGGTGATAGATGTGTTAATTAACTTGATTGTGGTGATCATTTCACAATGTATACATATATCAAAACATTATGTTGTACTCTTTAAATATATTACAATTTTACTTGTCAATTGTACCTAATTAAAGCTGGAAAATCACCATTGTTTTACAGTAAAAACAGAATTTACATTTTAAAAGGTAGTTTCTGTGCGGCAACTTTAGAAATGAACTGTTGATTTTTCTTTTTTTTAATTAGCAACAATTTTATTTTAATGGTAATTCTATTTTTAATTTTATCTTTATTGTTGAAAGTATTACAAATGTCCCTTTTCCCCCCCATTGATTCTCCACACTATTGTCTGTGTCCATGGGTGGTGCATATATGCATCTAAGCTCTTTGATTAATCTCTCCCCACCCACTCCCCCACCCCTGCCTTCCTTCTGAAATTCACCAGTCTATTCCATGCTTCTATGTCTCTGGATCTTTTTTGTTGGTTTTTCAGAGTGAAATTTAAATGTAGTCGGCTAATTTCCCCTTTTATGACTTGACCATTTCAAAACACTTTCAGACATTTTCTGACACTTCTCCCATCAAAGGTTGAATCTAATTTCCCTCCCTTGCTTAAGGATCATCCTTGTCGAATCTCTTTTAACAAATTGAATGGGGTAGAAATAATGGGTAGGACTTATGAGACCTGGTTGGTAAAGGAGCTAAAGCTCCAATCCATTCTTCCCTGGACTCTGCTTTGGGAGCCATGAGTCAACATATGTGAATCTTATTTCCTTGAAGGCAACAGGCTGGAGCTTTCACATTGGGTTAGTGATCACACAATCACAAAATACACCAGCAGATATTCAGGTAACTCCAGGGTCTAACCTTGGACTACCCCAGCAGATGCCAGATGGAGCAGGGATGAATTTTCCCCACACAGTTTTGCCCCATGTGCAGATTTGTGAGTGTAATAAATATCATTGTTGTTTTGGGATTGTTTAACCATCAAGTTTTGGGGTTGTTACATGGCAACTAGAACAGATAATCCATTAAAACTTTCAGCAGGTCAGCCAATATGAAATGTTTGGCTTTCTTACTGAGCAAAAACAGATGAAAAAAGGATTCTTCCAAACAGATTCAAAATCGTCTACAACATGAAGTTGCCAATATCAGTCTTCTTGTAAATACAATTCACATGTAAAGCAGCTTGCAAACCTAAAACTAATAAATTGCAGCTTTCCAAAGTGAGAAAAACCACATCTACTTAAGGAGAAACAAATACATCAACATTAGGCCATAGGATGTTGCAGGTTGAGGAGAGCAAGTGTGTCTATAAATCTCAGAGATAGTTAAGCTGTATCACTAGGCTGGGAATTGCCTGTGCAGCTTCTAGTAAAAAAGATGCTGTCATTCACTTTGGATGAGCTTCAGTGAGATAACACATAATGAGAGGCGACAGCTAAGAAAGGGAATGCCAACGAGGAGGGGCCTTTGAGATGGCTTTGATTTAATGCGAGGCATGCACTATTAATAAAGAGGTTGAATGATACCTGTATGTTTTATAGGTTTATAAATTGGCTGTTGTAAAATATTTTACATCTTAGATCACTAGGTATTGTTTCAGCTTATTATGGGAGATATCTATCTAGAGTTGACTGAATTGTATTAATCTGAACCTAGTTTAATGATGCCTTAACATTTTTATGGGGGAATTTAATGTTTGCAATATCCATGTTCCTTATTTGAAAGCGTGACTTATAGGTTTCTCATCTTCCTTAAATTATGAAATCCTTCAGCTAATAAAGGAAAATGATTATAGTTTGCAAAAAAGGCAAAGTCATTTAACAATCCATATAACTGTCTATTGTAAGACTTTGCATAATAATTGTAATTTAGCTATTAGGGATTCTAAAGGCAGTTATCAGTCATACTCTATAGTACCAGGGGAATCAGGCAAAGCCCAAATTATTTAAAGTATTTTAAATTCCAAAAGAAAAAAACAGACATACTATAAATTGAAAATATACTCTACAGTGACAACATACTATTTTCAAAGAAAAGAAGAAGTTCATCATAATTTTCAAATGCATAAACCATCAAACATTTTTTTCTTTCCTTTGAATAGAGATATAATTTAAGTTTATTTATAATAATGGAAATATAAGTTCTTCTAATGAGGGAATTAGCAGTCTATGAAGATTTTAGTAATCCTGGAACAATTAAGGCATAAAGAGTTAAAAGAGAGAGAGGGAGGGAGGGAGGCAGGGAGAGAGAGAGACAGAGAGAGAGAGAGAGAGAACTGAAGAATAAGATGGAATTCCTTGCCATTATGTGAAAGTATGACCATGAGTTATCTCTGTAATTTCTAGATCATTTTAAAGGACTAATGATGAATATTTAACAGCTAGACACAAGGACATATTTCAAAATACACATTAAGTTAGACTGATATTTTTTAAGATGTAAAGTTACTTTCCTAGTAGTAAATTATTTAGGTTTTCAAAATTTGGGAGAATTTTTACATACAAACACATCTGGGGTTTAACAAATTTTGGGTTGAGCTGGAAGTAGAATATTTAATTTATTCAAACAATGATTATAAAAAAATAACCTGTTGGTTGAGCTTTATAAGAGGATTTTAATCCCAAAGCAAAATAACTCTCTATATTACTCACATTATTTTCCACTACACAAGAGGTTTTGAGCAAAGTTTGTTCAAAGCTAGTTTGATCACTCTACATTACTATTTTTAATAACACTTTGTTGAAGTTAAACATATTTGTTTGTAGACTAAGACTAACACATAAGTGTGTTTGTATATATGTGTATATAGATACACTACTAGTTATATATATCACCAGTAAGTGATATCTGTTAAAGAACTTTAATATTGTACACATACTGACATGTCTTTTTTTAATCATGGAGGTGAATTGAGACACAAATAGCTCCAAGGACTGAATCTCCTATTTTACACTTTTCTATTAAAATTCTATTTTTTAAAATTTGAATACTGGCAGTTTATAACAGCACTGAAACTTCATATAACAGAAGTCACATAACAGAAATTCACTGCTTGTAATTGAATTGAGACTTGAAGTGATACATAAAATCATACCTTATGTTTGTGCTACGTTCTGACCTGAAAATGCATAGTTTGCCAGGTGACAGGTAACTACGATATACAGGGTAGGAAAAAGTATGTTTACAGTTGTGAGTACACAAAACACAGCTTATTGTTGCATTATTTATTAATTATTGTGTTATTTTTCATACAAACAACTCTAGACCAACTTTGCCCTACCCCGTGTTACCCTTTACTTAAGTCCTCACTTGCACACAGGCTGTACACAGTCAGAAAACTGGCCACACCTTCCCCTCCATGAGAATGACTTTTTGAAATAGTAACAGCTCTTATCTCCCATCACTTAGGACCCACTACCAACATCTCTTATCTTTCTTTAGACACTCAAGGCTAGAGAAATAAGAAAAGCGGTGGTGACAAACTGTTTCTTAGCGTGTCTAGTACTTATGGGTAAGGGCAAACACAGAGGAAATAGAGGTTTAGTTGTTGAAAATGTTGGGGCAGGGCCCCCGAGAACTGTGGTTTAAAATTATTCATGGATAACATTTGTTAAAAAATTAAAAACAATCTGTGCTGTGTTATTCATTTAATACACCTTCCCTGTGATGAGAGGATGGCAAGTTTGGGAACCACCTCCCATCACAATAA